CCGCGACGGCGGAGGGCCGGCGAGCAGAGCATGCGCAGAGCCACGCCCTCGACGGCGGCTCCACCCCCTGTCCGGCGCGTCCGGCGCGTCCGGCGCGCCCGTCCCGAGCGCGGGCGGCTTCTGGACTAGGCCGAGCCGGAAGGCGCTTTGGTCCAGTTCCCCCGAGCAGCCCAAACAGGCCGTGGGCCTTCTTTTTCTCTGACTCTTAATGACGAGTTCTTTCGGCCTCACGTCTCAGTTTAAAGGTCACCACTTCTTTGGAGCTTCTGCTGACGTTCCCCCAGCTACAGTCACCACAAGCAAGCAAACAGAAAGTCCAGCTTTGGTCTCGTTTGGATTCTCTAGCACCGAACTCTTACCTCATCCCTCAGGGCCCAGACTAGGAGACAACAGACATTTGAGTGAAGGAGAATATATGGGGGAGGTGAGTGCACTGAGGAAGACAATGATGGGGGAGTGACTGGCCCTCACCTGACTAAGCCGGTGATGACAGTGGCCACACTAACAAGTAGCTCACATCCACCCACCTCCCCCCCTCAATGTTCATCCTTGTTGGATCTACCGCTTCAGTTGCGAAGGAGATTCTGCATTACTCTGTCGTCTTTGACCCTTCAGCCACCTGAAGAAAACAATGGGATCAGCTGCCCTGCTTCTGATGAGGCATTCATGGCCTGCCCTGCTCTCATAGACAGAGGTTGACGTATGTCTATAAATAGTGCATTATGGACTTCCGTGGTGGCGCAGCAGTTAAGAATCCGCCTGCCAATGCAGGGGACAAGGGTTCGAGCCCTGGTCCGGGAAGATCCCACATGCTGCAGAGCAGCTAAGCCCGTGGGCCACAACTACTGAGCCTGCACTCTAGAACCCGCGAGCCACAACTACTGAGCCCGCGTGTCACAACTACTGAAGCCCACACGCCTAGAGCCCGTGCTCCACAACAAGAGAAGCCACTGCAATGAGAAGCCCGAGCACTGCAAGGAAGAGGAGCCCCCGCTCACAGCAACTAGAGAAAGCCCGCGCACAGCAACGAAGACCCAATGCGGCCAAAAATAAATAAATAAATAGTGTATTAAAGACACATAATCATTTATAGTCACTTATGGTCACTTACAGTCACTCGTTTCACAAGAGGGCGGCCTGCAGGACTCAGACCAGGGCTTTCCAACGCTTTCACGTCACCCACAACATGAGTGAACCAGCATAGTATTTGTAAGTATGTTGGAATGAGCAGGGTGACTGCAGTGGCCAGAGGGGACTGTTGTGACCCGGTGGGCAGGGGGTCGGGGGTGAGGGCACGGTGAGAGGTGGGAGCGTCATTGGCTTCCCCACGCCTGCCAGGCCTTCTGAGGGTCGATGGGAATTGTTCCCCTCTACGCACACACGCCTTTGCCCACTTGCTACAGCAGGTTGGGGATTCTGGGGAGGTTCAGGCAGGGCTTCATTTTAACCCTCACTTACCTAAGCATTTAGATGGCTCCAACCCTAGCCCTCCTCCGTATACCACCACCCAGTTCAAAATCACCAAACCTAAGCTGGCTTCTCCAAAGACCCACCCAAGATGAGAGGGAAACTCATCCTAGCGGTGACAGCAGACGGGTACTGCTTGATCTGAAGGGCACCTGTAGGATTCTGAGTGGGCCCGCACTTGAGCATGGCTTAAAGCTAAAAGAAGCAGCTCTCGGAAGAAACATTATAGATTTTACAAATAAAGAGACCAGACGCTAGAGGGCCACAGTGGAACTTTCTATCCTGCTCAGGATTTCCCAGAGCTACAAAACCAAGCTTCAGATCGACCTTGGTTAGTGGTGGGGATCTCCCCTCTTGGGTGTGCAGTCTCTCCACTCTGTGTGCAAGGAGCTCTCATGGTTAACACAGCGTTTCCTCATATTAGCCCTGACTCAGTCTCTCGGTAGCTCCCATCTGCTCTGCTCTGGTCTGCCTTCTGTTCTTCTTGGCTATGACCCTAGCACCCCGGGCTAAGAATGCTTCCAGACTTTTGTTGCCTGATCCCTCATCATACTTGCTACTTCTCTCTAGTCCGACGTTTTTAAACTTTGAGGACCCAACAAATAGACTGAATTTTAATCCAATTGGTTTATTTTGCAGGCTTTTCCAATTAGCCTAAGACCACAATAGTGGAACAATACTGTAGTCTAGTAAAATCAGGTTTATTAACCATTGCATCGTGGGAGGTTGCGCACAGAGGAACTGCGTGGCATCTCCCCAAGCAAAGGAAAATATAGAGTTATAGGATTCTGAGATAGGGTGGAGTTTAAGTGAAATTTAAGTGAGCAGTATTTTGGTAGGCTCAAAGCAAGGCTGTGTGTCAACACACAGAGTCAATGTGCAGCTTAGATGACAAAGTGGACCTGGGGTCCTATTTCCTTGGATACTATGAAGTTTAAATAGAGATGGAATTTTTGTGTCTAGAAACCCCTTATTGCGAGCTCTGCACCTGGGTTGTAAAGGTTGTAAATTGAAGCTGCTTATCTGTGTCAAGGGGCTGAGAATCTCCAGGTAAAGGTGAGATATTTCATTCTTACTGATGTAATTTCCAACAGCAAAAACTCTCTAAGTCTTTAACTTTAGAGAACAAATTTTCTCAGTGAGTCAGAAAGCAGGAGGTGGTTATGACACTTTACAGCTCTGTTTGGGGAGAAATATTGTTTTATGTTAATTTTGCAACTGATTTTATCAGCCTTTTATTCCAGGCTCCTGGATGGCAGGCAGATTTTTACAGTCCAAGCTAATTTTACTTTCTCACTTATGATGAAATAAAAATTCATATTTTAAGGCAAGACAAGAAAATTTTAAATGTAAATATTTTCTCTCTCCATCTGGGCTTCCTCGCTCCCCTCTAGTGTGCACTGTGCATCTGCATTATGTGTTAACGAGACCTCTCCGGTGGCAGAAATACCTGCTCAACATAGAGATCAATTTTTCTCCTTCTGGCACCAGCCATGTTGTAACTCCTTAGAAGATATCATTCATTTCTCAGTCCTGTAAGAGGTCACGATGAGTCACCACTGGCCTTGTATGGGCAGACATCTTTAATGAACTTTATGTACAATGCCAATATATCATTTCCCTTAAAGATAGGGATTGGTGCAGAACAGACTGGTCAGAGGACCTGGGGAGATCCTGGGCCGCACCTAATGGAAGTTCTTAGCTTAAATACTTACGTATGACCTATTAATGTTACTGGCTATGTTAGTAAATATTCTGCCTCTTTTACAAGATTATTGTTTCTTGCATTACCAAATGTGTGATGAGCCTCAGATAAAGTTAATGATGATTATGCGACTTGAAATGATTGGCCAAATATACAGTTCTGTAAGATCAATGATTGTAATAGTGTAACTGTAGATATGGGAAGAAGCAACAAGAGGGGACCATGTCCTGAACCATAACAGACTAATAAAACAGGTGGTACAGAAGCTTTCGCCTATGTTAACAGGGCCTAGTTTAGTGACAACGCACTGAGTGGCCTACCAAGGAAATCCTTGCCTAACCTGAGAATGCACATTCCTAGCACCTTGGGACAAACTGGTCATGAAATGCCTCCCAGACCTTGGCTGAAATTAAGACTGTAAGGGAAGGGATTGGAAAACAAAGAATGTTGCCCACCATCCAGTTCTACAAGAATCATTTCATTAGCCACTGCAGTCCCTGACCTACAATACACCCTAAAAGGAATTAAGGGTGAAGATAGGATAAGGCACTCTGTGCTCTGGGAAAACTGACAGAACTGGCCTTCAGAGAGTTAGATATGTTCAGAAGAAAAAATTTTATGAACCTGGATTCTTACATCTTCCCATACTTAGAAAAACATTTAAAAAAAAACCCATTAACTAAGATATCTGTTCCTCGTGACTAGCAACAAACTTCTGCCAAGCTGTGTGCTTGACTGCACACACCGGCTTCCCCAGAATCACATAGATACTGACCTCCCCTCTTCACTCTTTGGAACAGTTCTCAGAGCTCTCTGAGAGACTGTCTCCTGGGTTATAATCCTCAGTTTGACTTGAATGAGATTTTCCATTTCTTTCTTAGACTGTTGATTAGTTTCTTCATTGACACTTATAATGCACTGTCAATATTATAAATCCAGTGTTAATATTATTTTACTTACTAAAAAACATTAGTCTGAGAAGGGGTTTAACCAGGCTGCCAAAGAGATCCATGGAACATGAAGAAAGGTTAAGAGCCCTTGCCCTAGGGCTGGGGCTGTACTAATTTTAATGCAAGAGGTTAATAGTATCTTGATGTTAATCAATTCATTAACAGCCCCCCTCCCCCAAAAGCTATGAAACTTGGGTACACGTACCTGTTTTACAGGTGCTTAACTGGCTTAAACAAATACAATCAACTATATAGCAATATATAGGCCCTATTTTCAGATTTTTATTGGCATTTCACTTACCTACAGCATAACTTATTTTAGGTCAAAGATAAGTTAACAGTATAATTTAGTGTGAATTTAATAAAGTTACACATTATATCCACATGAAGGAATTAGTGTCACATACTTAATATGTGATACTTTAAAACAAACGACTGTGGAGCTATAGTTAACCCTCTACCCTAATCCTAAATCAAGTAATTCTGGATTTATACTCTTTTACTTGTTACATTAACTCTTTTAAACAATTCTTTACAATCTTCTAGTTATTTATTGCATATATTTTTACTTTTGTTGTGAACAGTTTACTAATATTGTCAAGAAAGCCAGCTTCAGAACAAAAATATCTCTTTGCTTTCATGTATATCAAGCAAAAGGAAGCAGTGCCTACCATTCAGTGAGCAGAAATACATGATTATTAAGGTTTTTTGTTTTTTTTCTTTTTCTTTGTAATTTTTTTTTTTTTTGGCAGTACGCGGGCCTCTCACTGTTGTGGTCTCTCCCGTTGCGGAGCACAGGCTCCGGACGCGCAGGCTCAGCGGCCATGGCTCACGGGCCCAGCCGCCGCGGCATGTGGGATCTTCCCGGACCAGGGCACGAACCCGTGTCCCCTGCATCGGCAGGCGGACTTCAACCACTGCGCCACCAGGGAAGCCAGTTGTTAAGGTTTTGACACACTTGACATTTACTATGTTTAATCCTCCCAACAGCCCTGTGAAAAAGGTGCTACTTCCCTCTTGCAGATTGCGGAAGTGTTGACACAGAGATATTAGTAACTTTCGCAACATCACTCAAGGTAGATCCCCAACAGGCAGACATGGAACTTGCTCCGGCCACCAGGTTATCCTGCTTCTCGAGTTGACTAATATCTTCTCCTCCTTCTTCTCCTGTTCCTCCGTATCCTCAGTGATGTGGGCAGATGCCTATGCGTTTTCATAGGCAGCTGCTCTTTCCCCTGCCTGATGTCGGTACCATGTACACTTCTTCTTTCTAAATTTAGGCATCACTGACAGTCTTAGGCTATGAAAATGTCCTTCTGGGTCAAGAGTTAGAATCAGCCTCATGGGTTTGCAATCTTCCATCTATGACTTATGACCAGCATCTATCTCCAGGCCAAGAAAGGTAGGTTTCTTCTTGAAAGTAGATGTAGTCCTTTATTTATAACACCGCACATAACAAGGGCTTAGTAAATTTTTGTTGGAGGAAGATAGGGTTAGTAATTTAAAGATCTAACAGGGGAAGTAGAGATGTAATTGATGGAGATTGTAGATTTCACCCTTTAATAATACAAGACTAAATTTCTTTCAGATATCTGGTCAATATATGAGGTCATACAAAAGAAACTCGGGGGGCATACTAGCTAAACAAGGTAAACACATTCTTCGCTGTTTCTTTCCTGTGATCGTAGAAGAAAACTAGGTTACAGATATGGTTACTGGACTTTCTAAATGCTTGCTACATTTGTGAAACGCAAAATATCACGAGGAGCACTGCATCCTAGCCAAGACTGCCTCCTTTCACCGCTCTCAGTTACAGTCCACACTGTATCTGGTCATCAACCTTTCCATTTTAAGTGACCTAAGAAATTATTTGTCCTTCAGCTCTGATGCAGATGAAAGGATGCAGTCGCACTTCTTGTTCAGTTTTTTTCTGTCAAAAACACCACTTCAACTTCTGCCTTTGGAGCTGAGCAGTTAAAAAATCTATTGAACACGATGAAAAAAATTGTTTCAATTGAAATATAGTTCATTTACAATATTGTATTAGTTTCAGGTGTAGAGCAAAGTGATTCAGTTATACATATATATATATATATATATGTATTTCAGATTATTTTCCACTATAGGTTATTACAAGATGTTGCATATAGTTCCCTGTGCTATGCAGTAAAACCTTGTTGCTTATCTATTTTATGTATGGTACTTTGTGTCTGTTAAGCCCATACTCGTAATTTATCCCTCTCCCCCGTTTTCCACTTTGGTAACCGTAAGTTTGTTTTCTATGCCTGTGAGTCTATTTCTGTTTTGTATATAGATTCATTTGTATTATTGAAATTTTTTTAATTAAACAATTATCGTATATAAATATTGATGTTCTCTTTTGGAATAAATTGCATGGAAGTTACTTTAGTCCAGGTAAAGGTAGATTACGTATTTTTTTCCCTCTTAAATTTAATTTTGAAATGAAACATTCTGGTTAATAAAATCTGGGTTACGGCTGCCTGGCACACCTTTTCTTCCTTGCCAGCACAAAGGACAGCTTCCCCTAGTCCGGATGTGCAGTTTCATCAGGCGCGCTCTCTCTCCTGCCTGACTGGTGACCCCTGGCCAACACCCTCTCCATCAGGCTGTGCGCGAGGCCAATCCGCCGCCAGGCAGCGATCGAGTGCAGCCCACTGCAGTCCCATCACGCAGCAAGGCTCAGCTGTCTCACCTTCATCCTGGCGGATGTGGCGTTTCTATGGCAGCCCTGGCAGCCCGTTTCTATGGCAACCCATCAAACTTTGGCGAGGCTGGTGCACCTGAGACACCAGGGCAAGGTCAGGACAGCCCGAGGGCAGGAGGAGGGCGCGCTTTCCCTCTGAGGAGTTGCGGGGCAGACGCATCCGAGGACTTTTTCCTTTCGTGCGGTTTACTTCTTTCTAATTTTGAACTGTATTCAACTCTCCCCCTTTGTCCCCTCCACTCGGTCGCCAGCTACTGAACTGCGCTTTAGACAAAGAAAAGCGGGCCCCCTGGGAATGTTAACCATCCTAGTGTGAAGGCAGGGCTTCGGCCTAAGAGGCCTATCGTTCATCTGCAGCAGCCTGACAGGCACCTCCACGTGGTTGCCCATGGCCAACAGCGTGTTTCTGGTTTGGTTTGGGTTTTCTTGCAGTAAAAAATACATAACAAATTTTATCATCTTAAGCTTTTTTTTTCTTTTTTTTTTTTTTGGCAGTATGCGGGCCTCTCACTGTTGTGGCCTCTCCCGTTGCGGAGCACAGGCTCCGGACGCGCAGGCTCAGCGGCCGTGGCTCACGGGCCCAGCCGCTCCGCGGCATGTGGGATCTTCCCGGACCGGGGCAAGAACCCGTGTCCCCTGCATCGGCAGGTGGACTCTCAACCTCTGCGCCACCAGGGAAGCCCCATCTTAAGCATTTTTAAGTGTGCAATTCAGTGCCATTAAGTACATCCACAATGCTGTACCACCATACCACTATCCATTTCCAGAACATTTTCATCATGGCAAACTGAAACTCTGTACCCGTTTTTGATATTGTGGTTTTTTATAAATATACATATGGTCATCCTCCGGTTTCTGGCTCAAAGGACCTAAAACCCAAGGAAATTCCTAAGTGAAGTGAACTTTAAAGTTGTCTTTTGTTATGTTTATAAGGTGACTTTTGGATGCACCTAAGGGGACTGGTTGCCAGGGGAACGAACCAGATGATTAGAGGATTGGAACTTCCTGTCCCACATCCCCTGATGTCCACGTTAGAGGAGAAGGGCTGGAAGTTGACTCAATTGTCAACGACCAGTGATTTAATCAATCATGCCTATAAATGACGCCTCCTTAAATACCCAGAAGGACAGAGTTGGGAGAGCTTCTGGGTTGGTGAACACGTGGCAATTTGGGAAGACTGGAAGGTTCAGAGAGTGCTTGGAAAGTCTACACCCTTTCCCATACCTTGCCCTACGCTTCTCTTCTGTCTGGCTGTTCCTGAGTTATATCTTTTTATAATAAACTGGTCATCTAGGAAGTAAAATGTTTCTCCGAGTTCTGTGAGCTGCTCTAGCACATTAATCAAATCCGGGGGGGGGGGCGTGCGGTCATTGGAGTCTCTGATCTATAGCTGGTTGGTCAGAAGCACAGGTGACAACCTGGACTTGAGACTAGTGTCTGAAGTTGGGGCAGTGTTGTAGGGTGAGTCCTTACCCTGTGGGATCTGAAGCTATCTCCAGGTAGATAGTGTCAGAATTGAGTTGAATTGTAGGACACCCAGCAGGTGTTATGAAAATTGCTTGTCAGTTCAGGTGGAGAAAACCTGGACAGGCTGGAGTTGGGTGTGGAATCTTACCATTGAACAATAATTCCCCATTACCCCCTCTCCCAGCCTCTGCTAACCTCTACTCTACTTTCTGTCTCCATGGATTTGACTACTCTAGGTACCTCATGTAAATGGAATCATGCGATATTTGTCCTTTTGTGGCTGGCTTATTTCACTTAGCATAATGTCTTCAAGGCTCATCCAGGTTGTAGTGTGTATCAGAATTTCATTCCTTTTTAATGATGAATAATATTCCACTGTATGCATATATCACATTAATTGATCTGTTCACCTGTCCAAGACATTTGGGTTGTTTTTATCTTTTGGCTATAGTGAATAATGCTGCTATGAACATTGGTGTACAAGTATCTGCTGAGTACCTTCTTTTAATTCTTTTGGGTACATACCTATATGTGGAATCATTGGATCATACGGTAATCCTATGTTTAACTTTTTGAGGAACCACCATACTGATTTCCACAGTGGCTACACCATTCTTTTAAATAATAGTTTAAGATATGCTACCCGTTCATTTTTTTGACTGCAAGACTTGAAGTTTGAAGTCAGAGAACATGTCTATTCATGAGGAACTCACTGAGTTTCCCCAGGAGGAAAAATGACTTGCTTAAAGTCATTACTAGGTAGTGACAAAGCTCCTCCTTTTAGAAAACAGGTCTCCTGCTTCTAAAACTTAGGAAAAGAAACCATTTAAACCTAGCACCTATTTACCTTGAAGGGTATTAAAATTTATGTGGCTGTTATTCATTCATTTGTTCAACAGGGTGTTATTGACTTCCTAGAGGGTGGAGGGCAACGTCCTACCAGCTCTGGGTTGTTGCTGTTGTTTAATGAAGCCAGGTGTCTGTCCTTGAGGTGAAGTTCCTCAGAAGTAGAGGGACTTGTTTACTCGTTTTTTATTGAAGTATAGTTGATTTACAGTGTTGTGTTAATTATTGCTGTACAGCAAAGTGATTCTGTTATACATATATATACATTCTTTTTAAAAAATATTCTTTTCCAATATGGTTTATCATAGGATATTTCATACAGTTCTCTGTGCTATACAGTAGAACCTTGTTGTCTATCCATCCTATATATAAAAGCTCACATCTGCTAACACCAAACCCCCACTCCATCCCTTCCCCAAGCCTCCCCCCTTGGCAAACACCAGTCTGTTTTCTATGTCCATGATTCTGTTTCTGCTTCATAGACAGGTTCATTTGTGTCATTTTAGATTCCACATATAAGTGATATCATATGGAATTTGTCTTTTTCTTTATGACTTCACTTAGTATGATAATCTCTAGTTGCACCCATGTTGCCACAAATGGCATTATTTTGTTCTTTTTTGTAGCTGAGTAGTATTCCATTGCATGTGTGTACCACATCTTCTTTAACCATTCAACTATTGATGGACATTTAGGTTGTTTCCATGGTTTGGCTATTGTGAATAGTGCTGCTATAAACATAGGGGTGCATATACCTTTTTGAATTATAGATTTGTGCAGATATATGACCAGGAGTGGGTTCCTGGGTTGCTGGATCATATGGTAATTCTATTTTTAGTTTTCTGAGGAAGCTTCATACTGTTTTCCACAGTAGCTGTACCAACTTACATTCTCACCACCAGTGTAGGAGGGTTCCTTTTCTCTACACCCTCTCTAGCATGTTGTTTGTAGGCATTTTTTTTTTTAACATCTTTATTGGAGTATAATTGCTTTACAATGGTGTGTTAGTTTCTGCTGTATAACAAAGTGAATCAGCTATGTGTATACATATATCCCCATATCCCCTCCCTTTTGTGTCTCCCTCCCACCCTCCTTATCCCATCCCTCTAGGTGGACACAAAGCACAGAGTTGATCTCCCTGTGCTATGTGGCTGCTTCCCAGTAGCTGTCTTTTTTTATATTTGGTAGTGTATGTATGTCCATGCCATTCTCTCACTTCATCCCGGCTTCCCCTTCCCCTTTCCCATGTCCTGAAGTCCATTTTCTACGTCTGCATCTTTATTCCTGTCCTGCCCCTATGTTCTTCAGAACGTTTTTTTTTTTTTTTTAGATTCCATATATATGTGTTAGTACACGGTATTTGT